GCTTTAATACAGTGGGGAGGTGTGCACACACCCAGGACACGGGTCAGGCGCTCACACTCTGCTTTAATACAGTGGGGAAGTGTGCACACACCCAGGACCTGGGACAGGCACTCACACAATATGAACCAAATCCTCTGACTATGTGGCTCACATGTCAAAACAATGTACAGGAGCTAAGCCCTCTTCTTTTCCTCACCCTTGGACACTCCTCCATTGCCTGTCCCACCCCCTGCATTCACAAGCAACACCTGTGAAAGCACTAGTCAAGCATGTTCAGAGGATATTTAGGTCCACCTTACCACGTCCTAGCATTGGCATTCTGGGTGCATTTGACAAATATTCCCAATAAAAACTTCGAATGAAAGGCTTCTTTCATATTGATTGGGGTGGGGAGTTCACTCAAGGAGAAAATTCTAAAAGTGGGGATACAGGAGGTAGCACTGACATGTGAAGAACCCTTGAGTTTGGGACAACGAGGAAGTCCACCCATCTGTGGGTTAGAGAGAAGCATGGAGAGATAAAGAAGTCCCTTAAAATGGTTGTTCCAGGACTGCTTCTGGTCGTTGACCAAGGGAGCAGTGTCTGGCCAAATTTCAGCAGGGGCATGATATCTTTTTAGGAGTTTGCTATGGCTCTGCACAGGTCTAATCCATCTCTAGTCAATCATTACTAAATTAACTCTCTTCCAGCTACCCTTTGAGACTCGTCGTTATATAGTGTAGGGGTGAAGGATGGAGTCCTAGAGGTGGGTGATTGGATAAGACCTAGACCAGAGGGCCCAGGATGAAGAGGTGCAAAGCCTGCCTGTGTTTGAGAATGTCCTTAGTGCCATGACTGGGGTCGAAACTTCCGGTTGTCAGGTTCCCTGCCGGTATCACGATGAGTAATTCAACACTGAAGGAAAGAGTTAAGAGCCTACCGTGGGCTGGAGACAGCGCCTGGTGCTAAAAATATGCCAAGGCTGAAAGAAGATGCAAGATGGCTATGATTCGAGTTGGCCTAAAGAAGCTCAAAACCACAACCCAGTGTTTGGAAACAGGAGCCACGTTATTAGCTGGTCCAGAGCGTCCGTCAGGAAGAGCACTTCAGAAGCCTTCTTATGTAGTTATGTCATAAAGGAAGAAAACAAAAACAAATCAACCAAATGAACCAAGAAGGCAAGAGCTGAGGCGTCTATGGAATGGGCTACAGGAAGTAACTAGCTTGGTGATGATAGCAATGCAGAAGGTGGAATAAACTCCAGGTTCACATGTTACTCAGCTCCGTGAGTTGCCAAATGTAAAACTTTAATCAACATCTGTGTCTTGCTAGGCCTCAGCTTCCTCATCTATAAAACTGGAGTGCATCCGCTCAGCTTATAAAAATGCATTAAATGAGAGGTGTAACCTTCTTGGTCAAGGACTGGCCCAAAGTAATCACCTGCAAAAGACAGGAGCTGTCCTTATCCTTGAGCCCCTTTGTTCTCCTTCTGGGGATTATGCAAGTGACGAGAAGGGGCTCTTTGAGAAATCCCGGCTTTGGGATGGCACGAACTTCACGGAGGCTTTGGTTTCTGGATCTTCACGAGCTCCCTGGTTGGGCAGAACATGTTGGCACAGTACACTCTTGTATCTTGGCTTACATGATGTACAGGTACGTTTCCTCTAATTCTCCCACGTCTGCCCATCCCACAGCTTTACTGCGTGAGTCACAGCTGGTCGGTAAATAATGGACCTCAAGAAGGAAGAAAAATGCCAGCAAACTTCCCCACGCCCTTTCTCAGCTCAGAGCCCGTGAGGCCCTGTACATCCCTTACGGGCAAAGCTTTCCCCACAACCCTTTCTCCTCTTTCTTCTCCTTGTACCATCTTGAAAAAAAATAAATAAAAAGGAGACTATGATATGGGGAATTCCAGGTTAGTTTACACAAAAGTTGGGGAGCAGCATTTGTTTGCACAGGGGGAAAAAACTTACAATTACCATAGAAAGCAGTGCTCTCAGGAACTCAGCAGCTCTCTCTCTCTCTCTCTCTCTCTCTCTCTCTCTCTCTCTCTCTCTCTCTATCTCTCTCTCTCTCTCTCACACACACACACACACACCACCACCACCACCACCACCACCACCAAGTGGGGCTTCCCAGGACAGACAGCTGCTGAGGGAAAGCTCAGAACACAGACTCTTCTAGGCTCAGGCTAAATCTCCTTCCAGAAGACTCCAACTCCTGGGGTGAGGATGGGGGTGGGGATGGAGGTGTGGAGGATGGCTCGTGAAAAGATCCCAAACTTCATCACAAACCATTTTGCCTTTTACTTTTGCTTCACATTGTTGGAACCAACTCTCTAAAGGGTCCTTTACCCAGCATCCCCCAGGAGCCTACCAAGTAAAATGTCAACGGTAACCTCCATCTCTGGTAATAATGATGACGCCTGTGGCCACCACGGAAGGGTGGCCTTGAAGATTTGCACCTGCTCCTGGAGCTGGATGACCAGAGTGACGTGGAGAAGCAGGACACTCTGTCACTTGCTCTCTCCACACACACAAAAAGAACAGTGCTTAAGTTGGGGGAACTGCCTGATTTATTTTAAAAGGAGGGGGTATAGAAGTAAGCTGGGTAAATGGCAGAGGTGGAGGAGACCGACACCCTGAAGAAGGTCAGACCTACAGTGTCCCACATGAAACTCTTCTTAGGGTGGTTGAAGAGTCTTAGTGGAGCCAACTATATTCCTTTCCTTTTGGGAGCCTGGGGGTAAATTAAAAGGGTGAGTTTTTTTTTTCTTAAAAAAAAAAACTGCATCTAATCACAATGACTGCATCCTTCTCACTCGTCAAATGCCCCCCTCGGCTTACCTTGTGTGTCTAACCCTCCCTTTGAAAGCTCTCAGCAGACTTCGTAAGAGGCTTCTGTGAACTTTGGATTGTTCTAATTTCAGCACAGTTTGGAGGCCAAGAAGCTAAGAGCTGCCTTTCAAAACAGGAGTGGAGGTTTTTCATAAGAGGATGTGACCTCGGACTTTCTCCACTCAACCAGATCCGTGCATTGCAGCAATCGGCACCACGATTTTCCTAATGCCATCAAAAGGGGGAGATAACTGCACTGATGATTACGCTCATCTGGCTCAAAGGCCTTCTAAAAGCGAAGATGTGGAGACGCAAGCTGTCCTGGAGTATGCACGCTCTGTAATGGTTGATATGGCCAGTCTCCATGGAAACAGCAAGCTCTCCTCACTGTCTTCATACTAGCAATGACCCTTGGCTCTCCCCTGTAACCACTAGGAATGTGGATGCCTAATGTAGCCTTTCACCTAAAACTTGAGGGTTTTACTAAAATTACTAAAGAGTTAAGTAGTGGCTTTGCTCCTTAGCCCTGCCCTGCTTCTTTTGGAAGTGGAAGGGATGATGGAGAAATCAATAAGCACAAGCCATTCATGGAAGGAAGGTGGAAATAAAAGAGATGTCAAATAACTTACAATTGATAAATCTTTAAGGATGTGGGGGAGATTCGTCTTTAAGGATGTGGGGGAGAGGAAATGGTCCAGGATCATGCATTGAACAGTTCTTCAGACTGGTGTGTGTAACATCTCATTTCCCTGTAATATAATTGTGTGTGATGAGCAGAACACGCAAGTCAATCCAGCTGACTAAATAGCTCCTGGTCACATAGCCAATCACGGTTATCCACACATGTGCGTATGGCATATGTGCATATGCACGCATGTTCACATACACACACGTCTACATATTTCACTCCAGATCTCTCAGCTTTTTCCCAGGCATTTAAGAACAGCTCCATTCACTTGTTGAATCTGTAAGTAGTGTACTAAAAGAGTAAGCAGGTGTATTACACCAAAAGTCTCCTGAAATATTTGGGGACAAGAATCTAATGGATCATTAACACTTCTAACATAGAATAAAAGAAAAGTATATACATTATTAGCCAAAAACTCATACAGAAAGGGTGCTGTACTCCAAAGATATATTTGGGGCCAGGATGGTTATTTTTCTATGGTCATATGCCTAAAGGGTTGGTCTGTCTGCCTCTCTACTTACCTTCCCATTAATATTGCTTTAGGAATCAGATTCAAACTGTAGCAGAAAGCATGTGTGTCCCTTTATAACTGTGTTGCTACAGCAATGACAACAAAAGTATTCCCTGAACAGTTGACCTTATTTTGCATACCAAACTTGACTTCATTTTCTATAATCCAAATTTACTGTTTAAATATGGATGCTGGCCATACGTCCCAATGAGAAGCATTGGTGTTTTTTTTTTCAAATGCTTTGATCTGATGGCATCTGTGAAATTTGCATGTCTCCTTCTGAAGTGACCCCTTCAAAGCGGACACTACTGAAACAGCTGTGTGGATCCAGTTTTATTAAAAATTCAGCTGCATTACTTCATAGTGGCGCTTGAATAGGACACCTTTCTCCCGATCTTTCACAAGGGACCCAACAGCACAGGCAAAGGAGGACACTGGGAGACTTAAAATCTCTTTGCAAGCCAGGCGGTGGTGGCGCACGCCTTTAATCCCAGCACTCTGGAGGCAGAGGCAGGCGGATCTCTGTGAGTTTGAGGCCAGTCTGGTCTAGAAGAGCTAGTTCCAGGACAGGAACCAAAAAAAGCTACGGAGAAACCCTGTCTCGAAAAATTAAAAAAAAAAAATCTCCTTGCTCTGCAGACAGCAGCGCTGGCAGCTGACCCCACCACTCTTCAAAGGAGTGTGAGATATGACTGTGCACTGACCTTCGTATTCCAGAACATCCAGCACGTCATGATAAATGCTAAAATAAGTATTGGCTGCTCACTGAACCTCACTTTGCTGCCTTGTTTTATTTTGTTTCGTTTCGTTTTAAGTTGAGTAACAGAATTGAAGTCCCGGCTTTTGTTCTTGTTCTAACTTCCATCAGAATGGTCTGAGGTAAATAGCTTTTTCCTCTCCCAGAGGAGATGTGGCTAGATATTGGGTACTCTAAAGATCACCAAGCTAACTCTTTCATTATCTTTTCTGGGCCTTTTCCTTACAGGCAGTATCGCCGCCATCACTGTGACAGTCATCGCCGTGGTGTTGGTGGTGTTTGGAGCTGCGGCATACCTAAAGATCAGGTGAGACTCCTTCCTTCTTGAAAAGAGCAAGATTCCTATGAGGCTCCAGGATGAAGGCTGTTTCGCCATGGGCTTGCTCTGCGATGGGCATCTCATCCCTCAGAAATACTGTCAGGGAAGTGACCGTGGCCAGTAGACTAGCCCCACATTAGACAGGGGAGGACAGTTTGGAGAAGACACGTGAGTATAGGCATGATGATGTCATAGGACAAGGTTTCCATAGAGTTTGGAGTCTCTGTGCAGGCGCCCTGCCCTGAAATCACGTGATTGCTCTGGGAAAGCCGCACACCTCTGGGAACTAAGTTCTCCCTCAGCTGTGGGCAGAGCCACTGGTTGCTCAGTCCGGATTTTCTGCATGCTCATTGATTAACTGGCAATTCATCTATACAAGGCATGTTTATTAGTCTAGCCAAAATATAAAAACTAAAAGGAAAATGTAGCATTTTCTAGAAAACTGGGCTTTGGCACCAGATTATGGCCCTTTTATTGTTAGTTTTTTAAAACATTTTCTCCTATGAAGTGAAGGTCAGCATAGAGGGTAGATGCAGTTTTGTATCCTTAGCCAGACAGAAAGTTACAATACGCTTCAAGCCCTGTCCTTATTTCCCATTGCTCTGTAAAAATCCAGACGTCCTCAAAGTCATGTTCCTCATGTTGAGACACACACACACACCATACAAACACACACAGAGACCCACATACATTAGACATAGACACACACACATACCATATACACACATATACCAGTTAGACATAGACACACACACATACCATATACACACATATACCATACAGACACACATACATTAGACATAGATACACACACAACCATATACACATCGGACACAGACACACAAACATCAGATACACACACACCGTACAAACACACACATACATTAGACACACACACACACACCGTATACACATATACACACATATCAGATACACACACATACCATACAGACACACATACATTGGACATAGATACACACACATATACACATGTGCATCAGATACACACACACCATACAAACACACATACATTAGACATAGACACATGCACACACACACACGCACACACACACACTCCTGTCTTACTTCTTGTCACCAAAGCTGAGTTCCTTCCTCACAGAGCATCGGCTGCTCCTACCTCGTCCCCCTGTGCTTGTCTTCTATAAGAGCGCAGCCCCTCATCAGCCCCTCATCTCCTGCGGCCACCCCAGCCCAGCCCACCAGGGAATGCCTTTCTCTTCCTTCCCATAGGTTATCACTTGACATCAAATCAATGTAATAATGGCATCAAGAATGAGAGAGCTTTGTGGTATCGCCTCCATCTAGGGTACAAAAACAGAAAAGGGCAGTTTTTGAGGAAAAATGGAAACAAAAAGGCCTGAGTTATTTGTGTCCAAAAGCCTTTATAAAAGCACACAGACATTTCTTTCGGATTTCAAAACAAAAACTCTTTGTCTTCATTAAATCTGAATTTCTTTGAATATCAAATTTAAATTTTATAAATCACGCAGTTGTGAGTGGTTCTCTCTGCTCTATTTAACGACTGGTTCGCTGCTATAGATATCTTGTGTTTATGAGTTAAGTGGCTTCGTTGCTACTTTACAACAAGAGTATGCTAAAAAAAAATATATCCCTGCCCCAGCCAGAGAAACTTACAGATAAATTAAAATCATTTTTCAACTCTCTAATGATGATATTCTGCAGAACTATAACACCAAAAAACATGACCTTGGTACAAATGTCCTCCCACTTGCTATATTCTACACCCACATACCAAGAAAGATTAGCAAAGATCAGCTAAAGAACTCTTTGTCTTGACTTAAGCAAATTTACCATTTCAAACAAATATCTGCAGGCTTGAACAGTAAATATTCAGATTCTAGACGCTGGGCGATGCTAGTTCAAGTCCCACGCCACTGTTTTATAGCATCCTATGCACGGCAAATGATTAGCCCTCACTCCCTCACCTGTGCAGAATGGTGGTATAACCATCTGGTGGGCACACTCGGGGAATGAATGGATACAGTGTGCCAAGAACAGTCCTGCCATCGTCACCAAAATGGTGAGCTAGAGAGAATCTTGGTAACATAGTCACACATACATAGATACACACACACACACGTTTACTGATAGCCAGCCATGTGGCAGGCATCTCTCTGAACAATGGGACCACCTCAGTGATGCAGCAGGGTCCTTCTATCAGAGAGTGAACCACACTTAGAAAATTAGCATGCCTTTACAAATTGTTCTGTGCGCTAATGAAAACTCTGTAAAAATGCTGTTTTTAAACTATATTTCTCTCCAGCCCTAACACCAGATAAATTTTGGGGTAAAATTGAACGAATCTCTGCTTTTCTCCCCCATGTCTCTCTTTTCCAAACGTAGAAGGCTCACCGTGGCATGAGCATAGGGTACTGCTTATGTATTGATCTACCCACATTTGCACTGTAAACGTAAGGATAAGGTAGTCACACCCAAGCATTAGAAAACCCCCTAAGGAAAACCCCTTTCTACTTCTCCATTATGTTTTTGTAGGGAAAGTGGTGATATAAGTAGGTTAATTGTTTTCATGAGTCTTAGACCATGCTAAAACCCATTCAAGTGTTATCTTGCCGGATTCTTGGAAAATACCTCCGACTGAGCCTTCATCAAAAATATAGTCAGCTCCATTATGTCTGTCCCTCCCTGTGTGTGTGTATATGATGTATATGTGTGCATGTGTCTGTGTCTGTATGTGGATATGAGTATGTGTGTGTACATATGTGTGTGCATGCATATGGGTAACATTAGGCTTGGCTTTGCCTAGAAATTTGTTTTGCTTCTATCATCCCATATTCCTAAGGACAACAGCATGCAAGTGTTCTCTTATCTGGGGGACTCTTATCACCTGGCTACCAACTGAAATTCCAGGTCACGCGGGAACTGAGCTTATGGCCTATACCCACAGGCTACAGCCCTGGCACAGCCAATGAATGTCCCTGTGAATGCAAAGCCACTGGAAAAGGCAGCCTTGCCTCCCAAACCCAGCGCACCTCGCCAGCTCTGCTGAGGGGCTTACCTTTCCCTTTCTCCCCCAAAGGCTCATTTCCGCCAAAGGCGTCGTTAACTCTTAGCCGTTTGTTTTCACGTGTCTGTTCTCCAGTGACCTCTGACCTCCAGTCTTATCAGTGTCTACTGCCTGGAATACCGTATCTTTTAATGCCCAGAGCCTTCATAGGATGTGGCTTATAAAACCGACCTTCCCGAACTTTCTTAAAGTTCTCCTGCTATGGACCCATGTTGACCAGCAGGAATTTCATGTGGGAAGGAGGACAGGAGCGCTTTATGCTCAGCACCACACTGGCCTTTCTCCTGTAGCTGTCGAGCTTGTCTTGAGATTGGAATGATGAGCGTCAAGTGCCAAAGAGGCCTTAGCTTGGTAGTTAGCACGGGATCTAAGGACAAGCGTCTCAGTCTGCCCTGTGCCATAATGAGACACTTAAAACTCCGGAGTATGGAGGATTAAACTGGGAAACCTGCGCATGTTCGGGGGGGGGGGGGGGCTGAGGGAGCTGCTGGGGGCGGGGCGGCTGATTGCTGTGTTACCCATCGTTCTCAGAACCCAGCATCTCACGGGATGCTCGGTGAGATGGTAGATTCCAACAAGAGACTGGCCGAATGACTGTGTCCTTGGCGTCCTTACTTGGTCGTCACAAAGGGTTCACAGTTGTGTGACTGTGCGCTGTGTGGCAACTTCCTTGCGTTGCGTCTGTGGTAAGATGTTCATAAGCAGACATCCCAGGCAGTCTCCACTCCAAGGCTCATTTGCAAATTTAATGGGAAGCAGAGGCCCTCCCTACCTCGTGCAGAAGGGTGCCTTTAATTAGTGAGGATTGAAGAGCGCTGTAAGTCAGTTGTGTTTTGTGGAAATGGCTCAAATCTGCTCTGCTAGGAGATAAGCGCCCCACACAAGAGCCCACATCTGCAGAAGTGGCTGGCGCTGTGATTAGGTGCGTTGCTAATCTTTCACAAAAACTCACGTCATCTCGATTTTTAGACACAGCAGGGCCTGGTTCTCCACGTGTCTTTGTTAGAGGTTCGCTGCCTTGCTTTGTGTCTCACGGTGACTGCAGACAGCTTCTGCTTGTTCTTGGGTTTCCTGACAAGCCCCGGCCAGCTGCCAAGGCCAGGGTTTTTTAGAATTTGTTGCCCACATGCTATTTTCAGGTTAGCTTTTGGAGTTCTGGGGGTCATTTGGCCCTAGCCCCTCTGTGGCTTTCTGGCCTCTGCTGAATAAAATTGCCAGTGGGGGTGGAGGCAAATCACAGACAATTCCCAGTGATCCTTATCCTAATTCGGTGCTCTCGACGGGGTCCTTATATCCACATTTCTAGCTAGATCACCAAGGATGCCCAAGCCGATGGTCCAAGAATCATACTTTGAATAATTCTGCTATATCCTTATATCCTGACACTTATAAGAAACACTTGGCTGTGGAGGTCCCCCAGTTGCACAACCCTGTCCCTTCATGCCTCAGTGACTCTGAATGAACTAAGGGGTGTTTGGTTTATCCAGCCTTTAATTCCCACATTGCCTGGCTCTAATGAGACCTCCTCTTGTAGCCTCTTCCTTAGCCTTTCCATACTGAGTTCCTGGATGCACCTTCCAGCTGCCTTCCATTTCCTTTCCAGGAAATAACCATGGGTTCCAGCCTCTTCCGCTGGAGCCATAAAAAGCCTCTGGTCCCCCATCTAAGTATGAAACGAGAGCTTTAGAATATAACTCACTGCAAGGGACTACAGTTGGTCAACAGCAAGACTAATCTTAGAGGCTGGGTTGCCTGTTGGGGTGCAGGTGTGAGGAAGTGGGAGCCACTTGTGTAACCCACACAGGCTTTCACTAACCACTTCTCCAAAACTGGATCTCCAGCCCTCATCTGTGGTGATGGTCTGAACCGTGGGATGGTGTCTCACAGATAACTAACTGTAGTGTGAAAGTGATTGGCTATTGGAAGATATGTTTGGAAATAATAGCTTTGAGGGAAAAAAAACAGACTATGCAAGAAGATTTTGAAAATAATGTTTGGAAATGTGCCCATCGTGGGGATTTTGGTAGAAAGAAACAGAACTGTAAAGTCTGTAAACTCTGCCACTAACTTGCTGCGGTAACACTGCCTGGCCCCTGTGGCCTCAGTTTTCTTAGCTTTAAAACCGTGCCCCAGAACATTAATGTCCTAACTTGGATAGATTGTTACGCAAAGCACAGACGTGAGATGATGCTGATGGGCACCACTGTCATGGCTGCCTGCAATATTTAATTTTCCATGAATTGAAACAGTCAATGTGAAAAGTCGATTGTCTTTTTAACAGGGACCTGGTAGATGCAGCACAAATGTGTTGGGTGTTCCTGTCCCCAAGACTTTGCCCTTGTTCCCACCTCTGTCTTTAGGGTGTGTTCCAGACGTCCATGGGACTCATCCCTAGTCTCCTCAGGTGTCTACTCAAATGATGCCTTCATGAACCCTTCTCGGCCACCATTCAGAACTGCAAATCCCACATCCCACTGGGAACGCCTCATGCCTTGCTTTATTTTCCCCATGACACATAATTATTTGAAACCTAGCTATTGTGCCCCCATCTCCGAACGTGAGGTCGCTGAAGACAGGTATTTAAGTGTATCTAGTTGGTCAAGGTGTCCCCAGGTTTCCAAAATCAGGTCCCTTAGATTAAGTTTTTAATGAGCAGTTCACTGAAAGGATCCAGGCAGGGGTGTGGTCGTTAGACGTCGGGAGTCACTGGTCTAAACTGAGAAACAAAGACCGCCACCCCAGACATCTTTGCTAATGGAAGTCAGGGCTCAATTACTGATGGCTAATGAGTGTGGCATTTTCCCCGAAATAAGCCCTCTCATAATGTCTGTGTTTCCTTCCTGCTTAGCTCATGGGAAGCACTGATGATTGACAAGTGGGTCTCCCCTGCCAAAGAGTGGGGTGGAGGCTTTACCAAGAGCTGGGGGGTGTGCCCTTGGAAAACCAGCAGGAGTTTTCTAAAAAATATTTGTTTAGACTCCAAGAAAGTGAAGCTCCACACTTAGCATCAAGGACGATAAAGAAATGACAAAAAGAAAAGAAGGTAAAACAAGAGACAAGTCAATTCTCCCTCTCAGGGTCTGCCTTTAGCTAACTGAACCTTGTGCACAGTAGAAGCACAGACGAGAAGGTAGCGCCATTGACTGTGTGCTCTGAGCTCAGTGCTGCAGAGCCACAGCGTAGCATGGGGTCTGGCTGTAATTCTCCTCCTCCTTCCTCTCTTTAAGTCGAGTGGAGCCTTTGACCGCCAGCATTCTTTACTGATTTTTCCCCCACGTTGCCAGCTTTGTATAACATCGCCACAAGCCCTAAGAACCCTCTCTAGTATTGACCACGTTGACAGCTACACAATTTCTTTGCTACTAGATATAAACTGTCGCCTCCAAATATTTACACTATAACCATAACATCAAGCTTAACACATTAAGTGTACAGATAGGTACCGATAGTTCATTTAAGAGGAACCAATTCATAAATGAGAAACACAGGGCAGTTACTCATCTGTATTGAGAAATCACATAAACGAAATTGCTTTTACCCAGGAATAATGTCACTCACGCCGACGGCTCCTCAGATTGAAATTAGATAAAGGATGTTGTCCTACAGAGTCAAAAGAAGGTTTTTATTATCAGGTCCCCCATAAATAATAGTGACAAAGCCCTCTAAACTCCTTCTGTCTGCCTTTCCTAACGTTAGCCAAGGAGGACTTTGTTCTTTTACGTCTTAGACTCTGCCTGCACATGCCCCTCTGGAAAGTGCACCACGTCAATCAAAATGGGCCATGACTTAAGCTCTGGCACTAAGCACCAACTATTCTCCCCTCATCAGGTACCCACAACTGAGTTTCACTTCCTCTGCCCACAGCAACCTCAGATTTACCCAAGCCCAGCCTGAACCCCCACAAGAATCCCAGTTCTTGTTCTAGCCCCTGAATGTGTTAAGAGCAAACCTTGCAGATTCAGCGCCTTTCCCGTTTTTGTCTTTTTATTCCCCGCCCCCATTTTTGTTTATCCATATCTCTCGCATTTCTTTCCTCGCTCAACAGCACTCACTGGTCAAATGCAAAGGTGACAAAAGGGAAGCCAAGTCTGGTGCTTTTCTTCATTCTCGCCATGTTTGTAACATAGACGCCTCTTTCAATGCAGCGAACTCAGGGCTAGCATTGTTCCAAGGGCCCAAAGCAACCACAGACTAAGGTCTGGTGGCCAGAGGAGTGTTAGTCCTTTGGCCTCACTTTGCCATAGTAACATTTTATAAGATTTAAATGACAAGAATGTCAGAAACCGGATTTCTTCCTATGCTTGCAGTATAGCTTCAGTGGTTCTACGCTCTGTCTCCCTGTGTCAGGCTTAGCATGGGCCTGTGTGCGTTGCATTATAATAAAAGTTACAAAGGCCAATATTTATTGTGTGCCAAGCCTTTAAAATGCATTACCTCATCGCCTCCTTCTAACAACTTTAATGCATTTTTTTAACTGTCCATTTCATAAATGAAGGAACAAAGGGGTCAAAAACCTACTCAGGACATACATCTATTGACCAAACTGACAGTTTATGAGAATAAAATTATATGAAAGAGATTAAAATGCCACAAGACGTTAAATTACCTTTACAAGGCAAAGCAGGGGCTCCGTATCAATGAAGGCCCAGGGTTATTAGAAATATGTTTGCCGGACTTAGAGCAGTAAAGTCGTGCTGAAACACAGGGTGGACGCCAGCGTTACAATGCCTGGGGTTTTATTTTCTCATGGGGCGGCTCCTGTTTCTCAGTTATCTGACTAGTGGTGGTTTGGAACAGGAGGTTTTTAAGCAAGTGGACGGTTGGCCATAACTAGCACATGATCTTCACCTACCAAAATGGCCTCTGCTCTTTCTGTGTATCGAAAGGGCTGTAGCGTGGCTAGGCTGCTCCTTGTGTGCCCTCTCTTTGCCACATCCACATACATGTGATTGTGAGCTGATAGTGTAAACAGACTGTTTTGTGGGGCATTTTCAAGTTTCCATGGATAAAGATAGGGTCCACCGAGTCAGCTCACAGGAACTCTACTGGAACTCTGAAACAAATACAGTGAGGGTCTTTTCTGACAAACTGCCGTCTCTGCCAATCCCTGGCTGAAGTCAGTAAGCTGCAGGGGAAGGGCAAGTGTTTTAGTAGCCTATGGAAGTGGAGCAAAGGCCTTTTGTGTCCCTCCGGCTGTGTTTCTACTTTGCTTACTGTTCGCTTCTGACTGAGAGAAGACTTTGGGGACCGGGCATGTTTTTCTGTGCTGTAGTTAGCATCCATGATTTCCAATTCAATCTCAGCCCCCCTGGGTATAAATTCAGCTCTTCTCCCTCAGGTTCCCAGAGTCTGATTGTCACCTCAGCCTGGCAAAGAGAGCAGCCTACCCAGGCTCTGGTGGGGCATTGACATTGTGGGCGGCTATGACATGTGTAAGAATTCACACACTAGCATGAACCTCAGAGGCACCATGTGCATGTTTATGTTGTTGTTTCGATTCTGTCGTTCATTTTAGTCTTTAAATGCCCATGCCATTCCCAGGGAAGCGCCCGTCTTTGTGAAGAGATTCACTTTTGTGAGAACTCAGGATACATCTTAGTCAGTTCCCGTGTCTTCTGCAGACCGTTAAGGATGACTTACCGTGTGCCAGGTCTTGTAGATGCTAGAAATAGAACCATGAATAAACATAACAAGCAAATTATAGCTACCCTCATGAAACATGTAGTCTAGCTGAAGAAGAAGAGCAATTACGGAGCAGATCAATTATACTTCCCGAAGGCCGTTTTCCTCATCAGAGAAACACTTCTTTCCCCCAGTCTTGATTTTGAGGATCTACTAAAAGCTGAGTCTAGACTCACTTTACAAATGACGACGAGACACCAAGAGCAGTGGTAACAGCAGTAGCATCTGTGACTGTGTGGATTATCACTCTAGGGAAAATTAGCCCCGGGACCTACATCAAGATCCTGGGCCCCTAGCTTCCCTTCCCTTCCTTTCTTACTGGACAGCTGTGGAGATGGAGCCTCCCCTCCCTTCTCTTGCACTGGAGATGAAGGAGAAAAAGACTCAGCCAATCTCAACAGAAAGGGCCAGGCCAGCTCCTAGGTGGATGTTGATAACTAGGGTCAGCATAGTCCAGGCTTATCCTGCTGGCCAATCTCATGCCTTTTCCTCCCACGGACCTGTGAGCATCCTGGGTTCAGGCTAGGGGTGTTAATCTGTCTGTCCTCAGATGGCACCTCTACAAGTGACGTCATCTTCTTCTCACACAGGCATTCCTCCTACGGAAGGCTGCTGGACGACCACGACTACGGGTCCTGGGGAAACTACAACAACCCGCTCTATGACGACTCCTAACAAAGGAAGGTGGCTGGGCACAAGAAATAGCGGTCCTTTATTTATAAGTGCTTATCCAGTAGAATTAATAACAAGTACTTGATGCTCATTGAACGACAATCGCAAGCCCTGTTTTGTTGGTATGGTTGTTTTGTTTTGTTTTGTTTTCTCCTCCCTCTCCTCTGGCTGCTACTACAACATCCCCCTTCTGGTACAAAAGAACCATTTTGTACAGGCCAATGGAGGCCGATTGGCAGCTGGCATGGTCCATCTTTGCACTGACCAGGCTGGACACCATGAGGTGGTGGCTGCAGCCCCCACCACAAGACTCATCGGAAGGACTGAGGAAAAGGGCTCGGGCTGCCCTGTTGGGGATTTAGTTTTGAGGGGAACTTTTGGTTTGGGTTATTTCTTAATCTTCTCTATAGGAAATTACATGGAGGATCAGTGGGAAGAAGAGAAAGGAATCCCTGAAGGCTATCACCCTGTGTGGAGGAAGCAAGGGCTTCTTGATTTCTTTGTAATCCTTCTTTGCCTGGCTGTATCTGACAGGATGCCTACTTGGTCCTACAAGCAGATAGACAACTCTTAGCTGCCTAATTAGGAAAGATGAAAGACAGCTGTACCCAGGAGGAGCCCAGCAGGCAGGAGCAAAGCAGCCCAGCTGCTGTCAATCTTAGCACGCGCTCAACCTGTTCTCCCCACCCGGGCCACTGAAAAGAAATAGGGATCCCAGCCCATTCCCCATCCAGGCCACCAGAAGGCAATGGGGATCCCAGCCACTGGCTTTTAGAACAGTTACAGCACAGTTTGAAAAGAGAGACTCAGAGGTGAGCTTGAAGAACGGCAAGGGAGAGGAATGTGGAGAATAAGGGTGGGGGAAGAAGGGAGGGACCAAAGCTCACAGGGACCCTCTTGAAGGAAGTAGGAGCCAACTCCCCATGGTAGTGGGAGATACCTAAATCCTGGAGGAGCCCAGAGAACTCTCACTTCGCACACATAAAGCAACGGGTTGGGGAATGGCTATATGCTATTTTAAAACAATGTTTAAAAAGACAATTAACCTTCCATAGGAAATAGACACCGAGAATTGCCTGTTTATTCCCCCCTAACATCTATCTGCCTTACTCATTCTTCCTTTTAATAGAACACCGCTGGGTCTCTAGTCTCAAAATCCTGTACAACAAATTTTGAGAAATAGACATTTTCCTCCACCGGCATTCGTTTATTTCACTTATTAACCATCAGGAAGTGATTTTGTCTCCCCCGGCCCCCAGCCAGGAACATTTGAAAATGTCCGGTGGCAATTTTTGACTGCTACCACTTATCTTGAAACACTACTAAGGAGTGGAGGCTGTGGCTTCTTTGCACAGGACGAGCTGCAACCACAAAGAGCCTCCTAGGCCAACACATCAAAGGCTGACATTGAGACCAAGATGTCTTGTGATGTCCTTGTGATGTCAAAAGACACTCACACATCAGTAAAACCCTTTCATTTTTAACAAAGTGAAACATCAATTTTTTTTTCTCCAGAGTGGTAGCTCGTTGGCTGATAGGTTGCTTTCTGGCATGTGCAGTTGCCTTATATTGTTGGTTTTTCTAGAGAGCTTTGCTATAGGGCTGCACCGCTGGTCAGCAGCATCTGATCCTGGGACCCAGCATCTCTGATTTCATGTAGTAGAGAGCATGCGTCTTAAAATATGTTACCATGTCCTATGATGTCACAGAGAACAAGAAACCGTCAGTTTTTAATTCCTCAGACAGATCCTGCCCCATGACTCTGTAGAAAAAAAAATAAAATAAAAGCACACTATAGTGCTTATCCTCTACCCCTCTGGTGTGGAGATCACAAATAGGGGTACTTCCCACAGCCTGCCATCCAGGTGCTGGGGGAAAATCTTCCTAAATCTCAGAGGTGCCAAAAGGAAAGAGCGATCATCAGAGGTCGTCTGCAAGCAGAGAGGAGTTCACAGAAATTAAGATAACCCTGAATATGAACACACAAGCGCACACACACACGAACCCCCTCATAAAAACTACAAGGGTATGCCCTCTGGCCATGCTTGACATTAACAGCTGTCCCTCGTTGCTACCCTGATCGTTTCACAGGTCTCCAGTTAGGCAAAGGACAGGGCATTCTATATCTCATTTTCCTCCCCCAGCCCAAAACCTTTTTGACACATGACACAAAGTTCTCCATGAAACACTTTAGGAGACTGTACTTCAGGAATCCCTTCTGGGGTCAGTCCTAGGCCAGAGGAACCAGCTTCCCTCCCAGAATCCTCACCTGTTAGAAACCAAGGACACACCAACAATTGTTTTTTTATGCCAAAGGATGCCATTGTGCATGAACACGTGACCGTTTTTGCTCTGGTTAACTTCCAATTGCTTCCAGCAAAACACAGCACAGTCATATGCAGTGAGGTGACGGCGTCCCCTCAAAACTCAAAGCATGACCCTTGCTTTGCTTGATAGTATAAAATGTGTACATGTGAGAATTTACTTTGCCAAATATATTTTTCTTCTCTTGAATTGGTCTAGAGAGATCCCAGCATCTTTATTCTACAAATGTTGCTACACACACACAAACAGAAAGAGAGAAACGCATGCACTCACGCATGCACACACACATACACACACACACACCTCTGAAATATATGCCAATAATTGATATCCTTTACCTCAGGGAGAGTTAGTTCAAGTCTATACAAGGGAAATTAGTGGCCCTAGTAAATCTAAACAGTCACACCCCATCATGGATAGGACTGGCTCAATGCTTTAGAGAGAAAGTCGGAGAAGAAAGTGAGCTAGGAGCCTCTTCTCAATGGACTGCAAGTGACCAGAGAATGATATGCAACTCTGCTTTCTTTTCCTGGGACCCCAGCGGGACCCCTCAGTCCTCCCTGCACAGCTGTGTCTTCATTTGTAAAATGGGGGTGATGCCTTCTTAGTAGTCTCGCCCCTTCCTACCTCACAGACATATTGTGAGGATTAATGAAATTGTGTCAACAGTGTTTTCATTTTCTGGAGAGAAGCTATTTATGGACATTTCAAGTATTATATAGATATGTAAGTGATCTCAGTTTCTTATGTGCTGTTATACTGGTGTGTCATTTTTACTTATTCTATAAAGCTCCAGTTAATGTCATGGCCACATCAGATGGCCATCAGAGCTCTGAACTCCCCTCCCCCCCCCCCGTGCATCTGCATGATGCAGGGTCACCTGGTCCTGGGACCACAAAGAATGGTCTCCCCTCTGACTGTAAAGATGGCCCAGGACACAGGTCTCACAGGCGTGCATGGGGATCCAGGTTAGGATGACCATGGATGCCTGAGCACTAATGGCAGAAGACCTCTGGCTTGCACACCCCGAGGAGTAGACCGTTGTCTAGTGTGATCTGTTTGCCCTTCATCTTGCTTGCAAGGGTGCATGGTTCAATCCTGGGCATCTTGAAAACTTGCAAATGGTCCAGATGCTAATTTGCACGTTGATTCTCCTTTGCCTTTAACCTTCTTTTGAAGGCAAAAGGATGTTCCATTTCAACTCCGATCCTGGAAAGGTTAGCTGATATTCGCTCTTTGCCACATTTCTCTCTTGGACTAAGTTAGCTGACACCATTGAAAGCAGAGAAGGTGTGCAACATCTTTGATATCTGATGACATCATATCTACATTTGTTGTAAGATCTATTGCATACCAATTATAATTCTACCAATTAAAGTGGTTAAAAGCTTGTGTCTAGCTGTGGTGATTTACATTTTGAGATATTTTGCTCTCCAGGCCACTGGGTTCATTTTTATTGGTCATATTAAGTAGCTCTGACTTGTTCTTAATGAAATTGTATCCCCCATCAATAAATAATATTTTCTGTAGCACAGGAAGGTCACTCTGATCTTGAAACAAGCTGGGAAAGCGTTAGCGTTGAACAAACCTTCTGAGCACTGATTTCATTCCCAAATATTCTGTGTGTTTCACCCAGCCAAGGTACAAGTAAACATTTTGATTCAGCGAGAGAGACGGCAAGCAGAATCCAGTCACATTAACGCGCGTTGGCATTAGCGTGCACGTGGTGTTTGCTTCATTCCATTTCAAAAAATTAAATTCAGCATATTCATCCTTGCCTGACAGCTAATTAGCAGGCGATTTCAGGCATCCAGAGTATAATTTCAACCTCAAGAAGCTAAGCAAATGTTATTTTGCTTTTGAAGGAAATAGCCACAGCAAATCTCATGCATTTTGCTCCATTTGGGAAGAGTGAACCAGCTGCAAACTAAAAAAGAAAAAAAATGTTTTCTTTCTTCTTTCTTCCTCTTGAGACCTAGCTTAATCGAGTCCTGGCAGGCTTTGAACTTACTATGTAGCTCAAGCTGGCCTTGAACTCCTGACCTATATACCACAAGAACCTCCTAGACATGATTGACTCGATGATGAATGTATACTGAAAATCAGGTTTGATCCAGTTAATTGCCTGGCTACACAACATCAAAGACTTGCTGGGACGTCACAAGGAATGGAGAGCAAACATGGAGCAAGCCCCTCCTATTTGGCTGTTTTCAGTGATGTTGTCTGGATATGTGTCCCTCAGAGGCTCCAGTATCAAGGCCTGGTCAGCAGTCTGTGCACTCCTGGGGTTATTGTGAGATCTTCACAAGGTGGGGCCTAGTAGAAGGAAATTAGGCAACTGAAGGCAAATCTTTGAAGTTTGGGGACCAGGACCCTCCTGCATCTTTTGCTTTTCAGCTGCACAAGATGAGCGACTTCCTTGGCTTTCCAGTTCTACTATGGGACCATGAGAAGCAAGACCATGGACTGACACCTCTGAAAACATAAGGCAAAACAAATCTCCACAGCCGCTGTTTCACACTGACAGACAACTTCCCTGTGATCCAGTTGCTCCCCTGAATCTGGATAGGCACCCACGTAAAAGCCTGGCAGTGCAGGGCTGTAACCCTGGAGCTGGAAGTCAAGGACAGGGATGGGGGATCCTGATGACGTGCTGGCCAGCCAGTCTCACAAAAATGGTTCAGAGAGAGATGTGGGGGTCCCCCCATCCCAAAATGTAAGATGAAGAGTGATAGAGAAAGACACTTGATAACAACCTCTGGCCTCCTTGTGCATTCACAGGCAAAGAACGTGTGGCGTTAAGACACTCTAAGTTCTTAGATTCTAATTAGTATCTGTTCTTACGTTACGATTTTTCAGCCTCGAATAATGATGTTTTCAGGTACGGAGTATACAGTTTGAACATTTGCTCACCTGTAGCTGGAGAGCTAATGCTTTGAGCTTTGAGAGAAAGCACTGGGTCAAAACTAAGTGTTGGAAAGCCCCCACCTTGTTGAGGGAAAGCCGAAAAGAGGTGAAGTTGCTTCCCTTAAAGGATCTCATCCTTGGCCAGCTGTATTCACTTCACCAGAACACTCCACTGCACGAAAACACGGTCAGTTTACATCAACAAATGCACACCATTTCTATGGAACCAATAAACTGGATATTTACAATAAAAAAAAGAAGTGATCATAACTCACTGGGAAACTCAGATGCCAATGGGCCTCATCTGTATGGGAGGGCATTGTATCCCCCAGATGGGGATATATAATATAGATACACATAGCTGGGAAACTGAGGCTCGAAGATGTGACGCTTAGCCATCAGAACACTAAATCTGACCATATACTCAGTAATGAATAAGATGAACTCGCTCTCCCAATCATTTAAGTCCAGTTAGCAGCAGGGTTGGGACCCAAGCCAACTCTTTCTGTCATCTGAGCCCTCTCCACCAAGAGACCAGTGTTCATAAGCCTATGCATGCCACCTTCTGCAAACACGGGACTTTCCGCCCCTTGCTCAGGCCCCCCTCAGTTATTTTGAGCAATCTCAAGGGTGTCTGGCATGGAGCCAACAGCAAGCCCAGTCAGCTCCCAGCCCATGTTCCCTGTTAGGCACTGTCACCTCTGTGCTAAGTCCTGCTATCTGCCAAGCCGTGTGCTCTAGGAGGAAACTGCCTGCCCTCCTGCCCTGAGAGGACATCAGCGTGGGGCCATGGGCTCTTGGAATTTTAATATGAACCTGTCCCTGCTGATATCCACAGGAATCAGGCTTGAGTCCTCAGCAGAGTGGAGTTGGGGTGCTAGCTTTGCAGTCACCCCTGCTCCTACCCAAGGATACTTCACAGCGTCAGCTCATCTCCCCGCAGAGCAGTGAGGATGCTGCCTTCTCCTCACTTAGCACTTTCTGTGAGCCGCATAGTGTTTGGAGCGTTTGATGGAGCGTAACGTCCCTGTGAGGCAGCTATGATTAAAATGGCCATAGTACGGATGAATACACTAAGGGCCAAAGATGTGTCTAAAATAAAAAATAAATAAAAATGAAAGGAGCCTGTGGTCGCAGGTAGTGCAGCAGAGATAAGTCTTCGGAATCCATGCTCTGGACCACTTTCAAGTAGAATCCTCATTCCATGTCAGAATTTCGTGGCCCCTGCACTCTGCCAGCCATCAGCCAATTCCTAGCCACGTGGGGCAACCCCCAGCTACAGTTGGGTGCCCAGCTCAGACGCAGGATCCTCCCTCTAGTGAGGGTTCTGAAGTGGCCCACTCCGTGTCTGAATGCCTGCATGGCAATGATTGCTCATGTTTTGGCTCTTTTGGAGGCAGCAACAATACTCCTGACTGGTCACATGGCCGTCTCTGCGCTGACTCTGTCTACATCCTATTCATCTGCTCAGCGTCACTGTATTTTTCTACTTTGTTTTCTTCCAGTAATGCAACACCTAGACTAGTTGAAATGCTGGGACGAGGTTCATTTTGACTCACATTTCCACAGGTAACATGGTCAAGGAGCTGCATTTGGTCATAATCTGTTCATTCAGGCGCACAGTGCGGTACAAGGAAGAATATGGCAAGAGGCCAGGAATGTGTGTGTGTGTGTGTGTGTGTGTGTGTGTGTGTATGGGTGTGGGTGGGTGGATGTGTTCTGGTCTCTTCTATTGTAGGTGCTGAATTATACAGGCTCATATTCCTACATTGTCTGGTGGTCAGAGAATTATGAGCGACCTATAAGGTGCAATTTGTACCTGCCACACAGAAGGTGGTTGCCTAGCCTTATAATACTAAAAACAACCTGACACCATCCTAAACAAGTGCCCAGGATATGTGATGTTATTCTTCTCCTTCTATTGTAATTTAGGAGGTCACCTGGGGAAGTCTACGTGACGAAATGGGCGTGGGCGTGGCAACACAAACATAGACATGACCTAAGTCATCCCCCCACACACACACCTAGGAAACAAAATGCTAATAAATTTTCCCCTCAGTTTATGTTTTGATATAAAAGCTGTTTGGATAAACATGGGCGATCTCCAGAATTTAAGTGAACCCTGAGACTCCCTGCCAATATTGTCATGTAAACTGTGCCTATTTAATCCCACACCTCCACTCTGGTACGAAAAATGGTTTATGTCTGGAATGGTCCCCAACATATCAGCACCCACAGTGTGGAGCTGACTGGTAAACTCCCCCAAAAAAAAACACGAAAGAAGTGACCCCAACATTCTATAAAAACCAGCAATATTCAGTTGTGAAGATTTGTCTTAAGGTTTTATTGCTGTGAAGAGACACCATGACCACAGCAACTCTTTTTTTTTCTTATTTATTTATTTATTTATTAAAAATTTCTGTCTCTTCCCCACCACCGCCTCCCCTTTCCCTCCCCCTCCCCCAAACAAGTCCCCCTCCGTCGTCAGCCCAAAGAGCCATCAGGGTTCCCTGCCCTGTGGGAAGTCCAAGGACCACCCACCTCCACCCAGGTCTAGTAAGGTGAGCATCCAAACTGCCTAAGCTCCCACAAAGCCAATACGTGCAGTAGGATCAAAAACCCATTGCCATTGTTCTTGAGGTCTCAGTAGTCCTCATTGTCCGCTATGTTCAGCAAGACACAACAACTCTTATAAAGGAAAACATTTAACTGGGGCAGGCTTATGGTTCAGAGGCTTAGTTCATTATCATCACGGTGGGAAGCATGGCAGCATCCGGGCAGACATGGTTCTGGGAGTTACACATCTGGATCTGCAGGCAGGAGGAAGAGACTGCCACACTGGGCCTAATCTGAGACCCAAGAGCTCACTTCCTAGTGACACATCTCCTCCAACAAAGCCATACCCACTCCTGCTGTACCCGCCCACTTGGGCGTGGTCTCTTATACTATATATGCTGATATAAAGCACACGTCCGGCCTCTTTTCCCACTGTGGGATTTGGTTGCTGTTCCCGTTCCAGCAGAGGACTGTGACCTGTGAGTCTACCCCTAAATAAATAACCCTCTATTTACTCAATTCTCAGCTAGTGTGGGATTTATTTTAAGCGTCCTTCTTCATACTCCAACAACACCTCCTAATAGTGCCACTCCCTATGGGGCTACGAGGGCCATTTTTTGAAACCACCACAGGGCTCCACACTAATAACTTCCTCTAATCCCGGTCACCTCCCACAGGCCCTACCTCAAAACATCATAGCCAGATTGTTTAACCATCTCTATGTATCATCATGGCTAGTAAATCTCATCAGTATGGATATTAATGGGTTCTGGAGGCCTGATCAAGTTAGGCTTAAAGTTTGGCTCTCAAATGCCCTGCAAAGGCTTTCCTGTTAAAGCCTGGCCCTACAAGGCACTAAAGGGAAACAGTGGGACCTTCAGGAGGCGGGGCCTAGCCAGAGGCTAGTGGGTCATTAGGATGCTTTTGAA